GGTCGCTTGTTTGTTCGTGTGGTTTGTAATTGTAGTATTGCTGCTATTGCATGTTGTGAGCCAAGTTTTGATTGCTTGCGTTCAAGACTTCAGATACATCTGTGTTTTTACCATTTTGAATTTGTTAATTTTAACCCAGTTGGATTTAGCTCGTGAAAAAGTGTGACAATTGTTGACACGACATGATAGTACGACAACAAAAAAAAAATAAAAAAATGATGGGTTCGATTATTCCTAGTTGGTTTTGTGTTGCTATCGTGTCGATTTTTAAGGACAAAAAACTTTCATGTCGTGTTCATATCAACCCCGTATGCATACAAAAGTTGACAGGTATGAGATGTAGATTGTGTTTGGTAAGCAACATAAGCTAGCTTATAGTTTATTTTGTTAGTTTATAATTTTTGTGTGTCCAAATAAATTTAGTTTAGTAGGATGGGTTTTTTAATAAACTCGAGTTTATCTCATAAGTTTTTAAGTTTCTTTGGGTAATTTTTCAAATAAACATGTTGAAAGCTAGCTTATCAACTAATTTACCAAACACTTTTGGTATATAAGTTACTTTAAAAGTTTGAAATTTATTTATAAGCTATCAACTACCTTATTTTTATCAAATATAGTCTCAATGTTATTCTCTTATTGACATGACGTGCTTAAAAGCACATATACAACTATGAATTACCTCTTATTTTCCTTCTTGCAAATTTTCAAAAAAAGCCTTGTGTACAAATTCAATAGAAATTTCAATTGTGAAACAAATTCAATAGAAATTCCAACCAAGCGAGTTTCGAATTAAGTGAGAATATTGGGTGACATATGAAAGCAAAGAAAATATTCACCAACAAAAACTTAAGAATGTTACACAGATCCTTTGCTACTAACTGTCCAAGTGCATCCACAAATTTAATAACTCGTTTCCCTGCAATGGCTTCATGAGATAATCAATTACTCCAAGTCTTGAACCATTTACAGTTGCAGGAACTTTTTCCAGTGTGGTCAGAACTAATCGATCGAGCGAAATAATAAAAAGAAACTTACTAGTTTTGAAATAATTGGAGAAAAGGAAAAAAACATTAAAAAAAATGGCTCTTACTAATGACTGGAATTTGCTGTAGTCGATTTTCGCGAACAATGTTTCTCAAAACATGAGCTTCGTTTGCCATTAAAAGATTCACTTCAACGAGAATTATATGAGCTCGAGGCCCTTCGAAATTAAAGGTCTCAGAAACTTCTCTAGCTGACCATAAATTGGCATAAAGTGCCTCAATGTCATACAATTGGCACCCAAAATGTTTGATTCATTTATACTTTGCCTTGCTTATATTGTCCTTTGTAAAGACATATCCTTGCGTCGTTTAACGTTAAATCTTGTCCATACTTAGGGATAACAACATAGATTGTTAAATCTTGTCCATACTTAGGGATAACAACATAGATTGATACATGTATGGAACAACTTTATACATAAACTGAAGAACTTTGTATTAATTTTGCATTTTTATCAAGCATTTGCTAACGTTTGTCGAGTTTGTGTCTAACCGTCTAATGAGTAGTCGAATGAAAACCCGACTTCAGTAGATTAATTTGTAATGTTGCCAAAGAAGTCAAATTTTGGATTTAGAACTTGTAGTTCAATTTTGTACTGTTCAACTTTTATACAAATATTATTATGATTTGAATCAATCTCTACACCTCTCAGTTTCTGGGTGGTTATACGTCTCTCACAACTATTTGAAAATAGGCAAAAAGTGGGTGGGAAAAAAAATGAAAAAGATAGAGAAAATGGTAAATGAAGAGTCCTATAATAAAAAAGTATAGGAAATTATTTTTCGAAAATTGCAAATAACCTAACCTTTTCACTTTTGAAAATGTCGTCTTTGGTCATAATTAAATTACCATCGTTCTACATTATTGTTTTCGTCATAAATAGGCAAGAGTNAGTAAATAAAATAAATACTTATATTTTTCATTAAAATGAGTATAAAAATTTGAACCTCATAACAAGATTTCCACTGGCCCCACAAAATACACATACTGCAATCAAGATTGAATTTATGATAGGTGGATATATATATGGATAATAGTATATAAAATGAATCATAGTTCCAATACCATATGGGCCATGAATATTGATTTAAAGAGCTCCAATACAATGGTCACAAGTTCCATATTTTGGTCCCCACCAATCAATAAATATAAATGGAATACATAGCTCAATCAATAGAATCACATGTTAAAGACTGATAAATGGACAAATATTTTCTGTTATATATCCACACAAGTGTGCATTTTGATGCCACTGCTTTGTTCATGCAATGTCCTCTATGTTATGGTCTGCAACAAAATATCTCGCTTAAATACTATGGTTGTAACCTTTATGGGCAACTATTGTTGGTAGTGGGTTTGACTACTTCATGGGACTCATATATTATCCCAATAAAACACTTTACTTTCACACTTCATTATCATACTTTGGAATATAGATATGATATTTCATAATATAAGTAATAGTTTAAAAAAAGTATTTATGGGGTAATTTTTATTCCTATATTTTCAGCTTTGAAATATAAACAAAAGTATGACATTTCACATGGTAATTTTTATTTCACATGGTAATTTTTATTCCTATATTTTCATACTTTGGAATATAGATATAAACAAAAGTATTTTATGTGTATATATTATTATACTCCAATTTCATATATTAAATAAAATATATATAAACGTATGACATTTTATAGTAAAAATATAAATTTTTAGGCAAGTGTTTAACTAGAAAACTTTTCAATATCGTAGCATATAAATAATGAAAAAAAATAAAATTGCAACTATACATTGAAAAAAGTGCGAAGGGTTAAAAGAATGGATAGCATAAATGCCGCATATCTATCACACGACTGTTGCATATTCATCACATGCACACTTTATAGGGTGAAAAAATATATTAATTAGTAAGCAATATAAAAAACTTAGTATACCTTCAAAGCAGGGTATAAATAACTATTTTCTAGTCCTGCATCAAAACTAGACAAAATTCGAACAGTTCAAGCCAATTCCACTTACATAACTTCAAAACTAGTAGGGATTAGGAATAGAGATGATATGCATTTGTGAAAACCCAATCTGGCCAAACATCGGATGACCGGATTGGTGATGCTCTGGATGTTGTCCCTCAATAGAATGGAATAGAGACATGTGAAAATGGAAGAAGCACGAAATTACAATATCATGCTCAATAACTAATTTCGACCAAATGTAAGAAAAATTAATTTTGTATCGATTTAGCGGTTTCATTTTTTTGTAAGTGGAAAATTTAGATAATTCTTAAAATCATTTTAAGGTGAATGATAAATTAATTCTAAATTGTATATGTGAAAAATGTAAGGTTGAAGCAATTGAGTTTAAGTAACTCAAATATTATTGGATTCACAAAGCATTCTATCTTTGACGAGTGTTATGACAATCCAAACAAGACATGATCATGCAGTTTACATGCTAGGACTCTAGAAGGGTTCGTTGGGGATGAGTAGGAAAAAATGAAAAACGATTTCAAGTTCGTATGAGCTTGTACGAGTATGTGGCGCACGGGTGCGCAGCTGACCGCGGTCGGGTCGTGACCCTTGGTGACCATCTTTTGACCATTAGATACATTCGTTCTCGTTTAGGCACGTCCCAAAAGGTATCTTAAGGAGAGCGTATCTTACGTGCCTCAACTTTATCCGTTATAACACTTTCCTTCTGATTTCTTAAGCCTTTTTCTTGAGATTCACATACCACACAAACTACACTAAATACACTATAAATAGAGGAGTATTATTTCATTTGTTTCCTTTTCTATTCCCCCCATGTTTTTTTTATCAACATGGCTGCAACTAATAAACTTATCTTAGGGCGTTCGGGATTCTTAAAGATTTGTCGAAACTTTAAAATGTATTTAAATTTAACTTTTTAAAACTTTTAATAGTTCGATCTATTCATTTAAAATTTCAAAAAATCTTAACAAATCAAATGCTATATAAGTTATGTGACACTGAAATTTACTAAGAATTTTAAAGATATGTTGAAATTCCAGAAACAAAAGCCTCTCACCGCAAATCCAGACTTAAGATTTTCAAGTTCTTTTTCAATCTCAAAATCAAAATCTTGAAAAGTCTTAGAGCATGACCGGATATAAATCCAACCCAAAAAAATTCAATCATTTTTAACTCAACCATTTTTTTTAACTCTAACTTTAACTCAACCCCACTATCATCAATATTATCAATATAATTAAATAATATCAATCAATCATTCTTACACACAATATCAACCTTAATTCACTATTCATCAACTCACATAATTTTAATTAACCATCACATCACATCTTCTCTCTCCTACTTTTACATTAATTTAATTTTAATTATTTTATTTTAAATATTATTTAAATATATCCACTAACAACTAACCATACCAACTTTTTCAAATTAACCAACTCAAACCAAAAATCCAATCAAAACAAAAACTTTTTATATCCAGTTCTTAATTTTTAAATAATCTTAAATTGTCTCTTAACATGCCAAATGAATGCATCTGTAATGTTTTTTCCTTTTATCCATTTTAAGATAATGTGACTATGTGAGGCCAAAAAAATGGCTAAAAACCAATTAAATAATAAAAAAAAGGCATTCGGATAATGGCAAAAATCTGTGGCCCCACCTTCTTCCCCGGTGCCTTTTTCTTGAAGATGGCTGCCTCAAATTCATTTCCTATCCTCCCCACTTCACGGTTTCTCTTTCTATTTTCACAGCTTCAACAAGAATTCAAAACCGTAGACCCATTCTTTCAAAAACTCTTTCTCAAGAACCAAAACTCCATAAAGGAAACAACTTTTCAACTTTCTTGTCTTGAGAATTCAAGAATCTGATATTTAATCCTGTGTTTCTTGTTGATTAAGGATTGGGGAGGAAAAGGGGGTT